ATAATAACATACAGATGGAGAAATCCAAAATGCAATGGCAAACTTCCTCCTGGTTCTTTAGGGTTTCCTTTCAATTAGTTCTCTCTCAATTAGTCGTGATAAGCTATGACAAACTAATTTTCCGAAAAATAATAGGACTAACCAAACATCAAACTGAACCTTAATATGTAGTTAATCTTGACTAATCTCCCCAACTAAATGGGGCCTAATAGTATTACTAATACTCCTTAAGATTAACTTTCATTTGGAAAATCAAAAAATTGAAAGAAATTTCATTATATGAAGGGATATTTGTAAAAGTTTATTGTATTTAGTAACCTTGTATTATACATCATGATTCTTAAAAACTCTTTTTTATTATTAATGCATTAAATAAGGAATGTCTCACAAAAAATCCATCTATGATTTTTTTCTGGCAAGTGAAATCAAACTCGATTAGACTAAATATGCGGACTATAATTCCAGGATTGAGCGCTATGTACTAAATACTAATCGATACCATGTTGTTGCTTCCATAACAGAACAAGGTAATAATTCACCATAAAGCAAAAGTTTATGAATGGTTGCAGAAAATTCGGGATTCATGTTTCAAACCTGGACCAAGTGAAACAAGTTCACTTGCTCTAACTGCTAGTTCATTCTTTGCGGGACATATATCATTGTTGCAGATTTAACAAATTTAAACATATTTTTTTTTTGACAAGAATTTACTAAAAGTTGTTCTATATTATTTATCATTTTAGTAGAGATAATTGTTTTAGTTTATGGGGACTATAATGCAAATACAAAAGTCTCTATATTGGGCTCTATGGGCCATATTGAAAATGGCCCACATGGGAGGCTGCCATGGAAGCCACTTCTAGATGAAAGCATTATACACATTGACATTATATTATTTGGCAATATGCTTTTGTACTCTCTCAAAAATGTTAATTTGTGATAGAAGCCTCTCATTAAAGCAAGTTTGGCTGCATTTACCTAACTTCAAATGATCATAAACTCAATAGTGGACTACTACACTACTTTTTTTGGTGAATCTTCAACGAAAATAGTAATCAATTATCATCTTACAACAAGTGATTTAATTTGATTCCTTGCGAGACATCGCGCTTCAAAATTGATTTAGGGTCGTTACATGGAAACGAAATTTATCGAGCGAATATTTGTTTGTAACAAAAGTATCCCTAATAAAAAAGAAAACGGAAAACCTAAATATGTGTATCATCATACGGTGCATCAAGGGTGGAACCGGTGTCTTCACACTCGGGCCGGACGTGGAGACGTTGGTTCCACGCCTGAGCCGAGCGTCCACCCACCCGATCCATGCCCAAATTGGTCGAATCCCTTCCCAAACACACGCCCAAAATGAACGTGCACAATTCATTTTCACACCCAAATTGAGCGGGAAAATGAATTATGCACATCTATATTGGGTATGGGTTTCGAGCAAGGTCGGTTAAACGAAAAAAAATACCCCATAAATCGAATTCTAAGGATTTTTAACATGTAATTGATGAAATAAACATGAAATTCACATATAACTAATTTAGAGTAGAAATTACCTTCAAATTTAAAATGATTTTGAGATGAGATAAGAGGGTTTGTGAGGATTCTTGTGAGCTTCGGGGGGTTTTGTGGGATCTTGAAAGTTTGGGTGGGTTTAGAATAGGAGTTTGAATTGTTAACGGTATTCGTAATTTTAGACATGTAAAAATTATGGGATTATTTGATAAACCCCCCTCATTAGACATGTGCAATTAAGATGAGCCCAAAATATTTTTTCAATTTTAAGATAAATCTAAAACATATTTTAATTACCATAAATAATACAATTTCACTATAATTAGGCTTAATTCCATTTTGCACCCTAAAAATATAGCCTTTTTGCACTTTGCACCATCGAAAACTATTAATCGCATTTTGCATCCTCGAAACACAATAAATCATGTATAAAGCAATGAATTTAAAGCTAATGAAAATAATTTAATATTTTTAGTGGCATTTTTTTAGGATGTCTAATGTCAAATATTTTTTTATATTCATCAATCCTTTTGAAACAACTAAGTTCAAAATTACATCTCATAGGTATATTTAGAAAAAAATGTACAAAAAAATATTTTACAAAAAACAAAAAAGTATAAAAATCCTTCAACTAGTTTGTTATCGAGTTATTTGAAAATTATATTTTATTCGAAAGTTTTCTACAAAACATTTTCACTAATAATAGTAAAAGATCCATCAATCGAATGATACGACCTATTATTTATTATATTATTTAGTTAATTGTTTAGTTAATATTTTATTATTAATTTATTAGATTAGTATATTTATGATAATATATGGCCGTGAGTTTTGTATTTAGGAGATTATTTAGTATTTTATTAGTTTAGGTAATTATCTTTTCTAGTTAGATTAGGATTTTAGGGTTTTCTTATATTTAAATAGTCGTCTTGTGCTAGGGTTTTAGAAGGAAGAGAAATAATAAAGAAGAGTTTTCTTACGTTTCGTAAAGAAATCTTATGATACACAAGAGATCGTATCAATTGGTATCAGAGCGAAGTTGCGATTAACACCAACGCTTCGTTAGCAAGGCAGCGATTACATCAAAGCTACGCTGGAGCAAAGTTGAGATCACATCAAAACTTTGTGAAATCATGATGTCAGAAACAAGACGGTTGGAGCGATTGGAAAAATCCGTAGAGAAATTACGGATCGATTTTCAGAAATTACTCGCGAACAATGTCAAGGACGACGTCAACACCATCACAAAAGCCGAAGGGACCGCCGCCCATCACCGCCAGTGCCACCGCCACCACTGCCGCTGCCGAGCCTATCACCGGAGGAAGAGGAAGAGGACGACGATGAATTTTTTAAAGAGCCACCGCTGCCGAGCCTATCGTCGGAGGAAGAGGAGGAGGATGACGATGACTTTTTCGAAGAACCCCAAATTTTTGTGAGTTCGCCGGAAGAAGAAGCATCAGATTCAACTGAGATGAAGTGGGACGAAGAGCCGAAAGAAGAAGAATCGGAGTCAACTGAGATAAAGTGGGATGAAGACGAGAAATTAATCGGTGATGAAAACGAAGAATTGCATGGAATTTTGAAAGAATTTCATAGCTTTAAGGAAGATCCGATTTTAAGTGTGGAGATTGTGGTACCCGAGAAATCCGACAATATTTCTGTAATTAGTATGAAAAGAGATAAAGGTGAAGATGATGTTGCAATTATCCACGGTATGGGGAATCGTGACATTACAAATGATCTAAATTCAATTGTGTCCCACAGAGGTTGTGAAGTTTTTCCAAAGATCCTTATTGTTAATGGAATTCTGCAAAGTAGTAGTAATTTGCTTGCAAACTTGAAGGTGGAAGAGATGAAAGAGATACTCATTTATAATGAAGTGGTCGAAAAATTATTTTACACTTGTCTTGTCAGCAGTGTTCATGTCAAATCAATTCGGAAGAAATTCGATGGCGTCAAGCATAGATGGAAACACAGAAAAAAAGAGACAATTATTGGGCAGAACCTTGAGGACAAGGTTCATTTCAAGAGGGGTGGTTTGATACGACATATTATTTATTATATTATTTAGTTAATTGTTTAGTTAATATTTTATTATTAATTTATTAGATTAGTATATTTATGATAATATATGGCCGTGAGTTTTGTATTTAGGAGATTATTTAGTATTTTATTAGTTTAGGTAATTATCTTTTCTAGTTAGATTAGGATTTTAGGGTTTTCTTATATTTAAATAGTCGTCTTGTGCTAGGGTTTTAGAAGGAAGAGAAATAATAAAGAAGAGTTTTCTTACGTTTCGTAAAGAAATCTTATGATACACAAGAGATCGTATCATCGAACAATTTAATGAGAAATGTCTTGTTTTTTTTTTAAGAAATTAGTTTTTTTCAATAATTCGTTGTGATTTTTTTTTTCTTTTTTGTTCTTTTTGCGTTTTATATGTTCAAATTTATGTTGGATATCGAAGAAAATAACAATTTAATTTATTATTTAACACTCTGGAACTAAATAACCAATAAAAATTGAAATTACACTCAGTAAGTTTTAAGTATTCAATTCAGGGTGTATTGTGAATGATTAATTGTGTTTTGATTCTTTTGAAGGTGCAAAGTGCTATTAATTGTTTCGGATGGTGCAAAGTACCAAAATGCTATATTTAAGGGTGCAAAGTGGAATCAAGCCCTATAATTACTATAATACGATTAATCCAAACCATCAATCACCTATTGTCAGTAAGTATTGGGCTCGCCTCATATCCTGAACCTTACGCTTGTGTGTCCTACCTTCTCGTTGTGCATTAGTCCATTTGACTGAATGACACGAGTCATGACACCCTTGCCTTTTTTGGCTCCCAAATGCGTCGACATCTACAAAATAAACAATATAAATTCATTAATCGAGTAATTAATGAAAAAAAAGAAGTTGTTAATGAAACTAAACTTCAAATTGTGTCGGTCAACTATTTGTGTCGGTCAACAAATAAAGATTGAATCTATTTGTATCAAATTTAAAGAAAGTTATATTTTATTGTATTGGATAAAAAATTATCAACATCTCAAATATAATTTCAATGCGGAATGATATTACCAACATCTCAAAATATTTAGACGTTTGTACATAATTTATATCAATAGGAAAATAAACCAAATATAATACAAACACTAAATATACGGATAATTTTCACGGAACGAATGCAACACACGTGCACTTCTCTAGTGAACTATTAAAACACGAAAATTTTAACATACATGGCAAAATAAAAGCCTCATCCTATCGCAACATAAAATTTTAAGAACATTCCAATTCGATGAATTCGAATTAGATTGTTCTAACTTCTATTGAAAGTAATTACGCAAAATTACCACAAGTAGAAGGGGAAAAAAAACCCCGACTCGCATGCTTCAGCCACATAGCTAATTTATCATTTTATCTACAGAAAAAAATGGATCGCATCCCGTGTGCAGTGGTCGAAACAAACGTAAAGTAACCTTAAAACAAGGGACTTGCTCAATTGCACATTTATACACGAGAGTGATCATTCATATATACATACAGAAACACCGATATTTTTACAGGACATCATCAGCCCTTTTAAACATGTAATAAAAAGCTTATGCGTATATTACGTTATGGATTTGACGAAAAACACTAATCAGAGAGCAATGCTTTCATCCCTACTTATTTATATTTTACTATAATATTTTGACCGACGGAAATATTTTTGAGCCATTATTGCGAATAGGGGGGTATTGAAAATTATACAATCAGAGAAGCTCCCAATCAGATTCAAGAGAATCGCCAGCTGGCAATTTTCTTTTATCGGGATCCACCATATGAGCTGGAACAATTGCCTCCGTTTTATTTTTCCCGCCTAAATCTTTATAATCATAAAGTAATTGATGTTGCTTCTTTGTTGGTCTTAGTTTCGATGAAAGAGCATCGCGTATCTTTTTCTGCAAGTAATAATAATAAATAACTCGGTCAAAAAAAAAATATGCATACATGCACGAAGACACTAAGAAATCGTGTGTGTGTGTGTGTGTGTGAAAGAGAACCTTGTATGACTTGTGTTTATGCGATGTTTGAGAAACGAAATGGAGATTGTCCCCATCCACCAAGATACACGTTTCCTCCAACTTTGACTTTTCGACTGGGTCAAAGGTTTCGGGTTTCAGGTTTTCGGGTTTATGCGATGTTTGAGAAACGAAATGGAGATTGTCCCCTTCCACCAAGATACACGTATCCTCCAACTTTGACTTTCCGACTGGGTCAAAGGTTTCCGGTCTTTGACCAACAATTTCCTCATTCTCAATAACCTCCATGTCGAAGTTATCTAAAACATCTAGTTAACATCAAACACAAAATAAGTATTAAAGGCATCCAACGAATATATAAAATATGTGAACGAAATATACACTTGATTATCTTAAACAATGTGTTTATGACTATCTCGATCGTAACCAACCCTCGTAAGGGGAGTTGGTTCGAATCCCGTCCCTCCATTATTTTCCCATTTGTAACAAGATTTGAATTATGAAAAATTACGAAAATAACCCCTCCTGTTTGGATAATTACAACCACCCATCAACTATACCCCTCAACTAGGTATCCTCTTACACGTCCATTTTTACATGTCAAATTTAAAATTTACCGATTGAAAGCGGGGTTTTTTTCGTAAGACTATAATTCATAGTTAAGGGGATGGTTGTAACTACCCAAAAAAGAGATGTTTTTTCGTAATTTAACATTGCCTCAGGGGTGGCCGTAATTTACCCTATTATTTAATTAAAAAAAAAAAGCTATCTAGATTCTCGAACTCAATAGCACAAATTAAATGTCAATGAAAGATTATATCCCTTCCTTTTTGGCTTCAAGATTTCTATCAATAAGGTCAAATTAAGCTTTTCTATTGACCTTCTTAGACCTCGTTTGGTTGGACAGATTAGTCATGATTAACAAAATAATTGGACTTTGTTTGATGTCCCCAATAACTTCCCGGGTCGACCAGCAAAATTTTGTCTGGTAGGGAGCTTTTTTGTTAGACGTCCCGGGATCCGAAAAAATAATTTGGGCATATGTGATCTAAAGAATTAGGGGCTCGAAAATAAATATGCAACAAAAAGAAGAAGCAGTTTATATTGTACAATATCTACCTCCAAAACAGAGAGATTATTTACCTTCTTCATAAGATGCGATAACCTCCTCGTTTACGGCCTCAACATCGCACGAATCGCTGCCAATATTTGAATTTTTTTGAGAAAACAAATCGTTTTGCCTGAATTCATCTGCCACGAGAAGAAGAAAGTCAAAATGATTTTTATATTTCCCAACAAAAAGATGAGAAGAAAATAATCGAAAGCATCTTTCTCCGAAATAGACCTTCATAAGAAGTCGTAACATCCTGCTTGCACACAGACTCAACATCACATGTATTACTCGTCAAACACGAGCTCGACTTAGAACACGAAACGCCTTCGGCTAATACACCTTCCAAAAGAACACAAAAATCATAAAGAGACGAACGATAAGAGGTTAAACTAAAATCACAAAATCACTAAGGGTGTGTTTGGATGGGAGAAATTTGAAATCCATAATATTGAATTACTTGACGATAGATTTTAAATCCATAGCCCTCGTTTTTAATTATATTTTTTAGCAATTTTGGCGGGATTTCGAATCCCTTCCATTTGGATTCATTTTAAATCATATTCCCCTTTGAATTCATTTCAAATCCTTCAATCCAAACGCGACCTAAAAAAATGTACCAATAGGTTCGTTCGGCAAGCTAAGAGTGGCCGAGTTTTCCATGTAATCCTCTTTCTTGTTCACCAAAGACGAAATTTCAGAGGCGCACTCAGAATCGGTGGTTTTCTCTTCTTGCCTCACAGTTGTTTCTTCAGCAGATAAACATATTATTTTGTCCGGAACAGAAACAGGCGCAGCACTATCTTCCACGGTTTCCGAGGATTTTGTTGCGTTCGTTTCGCCGATTCTGTCTCGTGTTACTTTCGGAGGTTGACTGTTCTGAGAAATTCTTTTGATGCCAATGGGTCGTCTGCACGCTCCCAATTTCTTACTCTTCGTCGAACACGAGTCGGAGCGCGTATTCTCGACCACTACTTTAGGTGGTAGCAGATAAGTATCGTTACTGAAATCGGAAACATCTCCTTTTTTCTTGAGACTGACACGGTTGTCTGATAAGCTCAGTTTCGGCTTCTTACTGATGACGTCATCGTACGTTTTCAGTGCCACATCAGCAGCGGCGGGTACTTTACCGGGATCAACACAAGACGGAGGAACCAAATCTTGCATTACTTCTGAATAGAACTTCTTTACGCTTACACCGACTTTCTGCACTTGATTTTCCACATATTTCACCGTGTCCTGCAGACGAACAACCTAGTTTAAATACGACCGCGGTTCCAATATAATTTCTATTTTATGAAAAATCGTTCGTCTCCTTATCTAATTATCGAAGAAAAAAAGATAGCATTGCGTCAAATATATCAAACAAAAGAGATCTAAAGAATTAGTCGCTCGACTCGACTTCCAACAAAAACTCGATTGAAATGTGCAATTTGATTGTATGTAGACCAAGGATACGTATTATTACAGCTAAGTAACATAAGTTGCAGCAATATACGAGGAAAAAAACGAGGCTTTTTACCTCATACATAACTTCTTCGACTTCCAAACACATAGCTTCAAACTTCTCGTATATGTTCCCTGCCCAGGTTATACCTTTAAAATCCATCGCTCGATATTTCCAAGATCGTATCAGCACTTAACTGTAGACAATTAAACAAATAAAACGTCGACAACGATTGTATTTTTTCTGAACAATTAACAGCAAGAAAACACCATATTTATGCGACGTTCAAATCAAGAAACGAATGTCGGAAAGTCAACTCCAACAAACCACACCCAATGAAGAAGATTTTCTATATCCAGAAAAAGGGAAGTAATTTCTAACACGAATCGTATACGACAAACGAACCTAATAAATGCTTATACAAAATTACAAAAATGCCAAAAACCCACCTTTCGAGACATTATGAAAAAAAAAAACTACTAATCGTCTAGCCAATAAGAAACCGCTGTTTTGGGCATATGAACATAACAACAAAGCAAAATTAGAATATCGTATAGCTTACTGCAGAGAAATCGCAATAATCTCTATTTACGCTCTTCATCGAAATACATAAATACGCAGAAACCCCCGAAAACAAGAAATCACTTTATTTACAGAAATACCCTTTGAAGACATTACAAGAAAAATATCTACTCATCGTCTAGCCGATAAGGAACCACTGTTGGAATATCGTATAGCTTACTGCACAGAAATCGCAATAATCTCTATTTACCCTTTCCATAGAAAAAAAAAACGCAGAAACCCCCGAAAACAAGAAAAGTGCTTTTATTTAATTTGGGATCGCAAACGTGAAGGATCGAACAACAATACAGAAATACCCTTCGAAGAAGAAAGCCCTTTGCTTACAGAGTATAATAAAACACAAAAGAAATTCCTATACACAATTTGTAAGCAAATACTTCCACACGAAACTAGGAACCGAAAAAAAGTTAACTTTCGAAGCAAGAATTTTGGAATAGATTCTTTATCAATTCATCTCATATTACACCTGGAATATAATCATATGTTTATTTATTTATTTATTTAATTCATTTCCACCTTTCAAACAAAACCCAGATTCCCAGTAATAATTATTCTCAACCCATCAAGTTTATCATCATCAAACAAAAATCAAGACCAGATTTTTTTTAATCTTTAAAACAAAATTGATTTCATCGTACTAAGCAGCAGCAAAAAAAATACAGAAATAAATAAAAGCAAAAAGTCGATCAAGGAGAAAAGCTATATGAATAAGCACTTAAAAAAAGTGATTAGTGAAAAAGAAAAGGGGGAAGAAGAACTTACAAACACAGCAAAAGGGGAAAGCACGAGTGACCTCAAAACCCAATATCGATACTTTTTCAAGAACCAAAAGGATATATTATATATATCTATATATTATATATTTTTATAAGATAATTAAAATATAAAAAGAAGAATATGTAAAAGGAAAAACAATATGGAAAGGGATGAACATCATCGAGTCTAGAGAGAGAGAGAGAGAGAGTGGTTGAGTAGAAGAATGAGAAACGTAGAGAGGTTCAACAGGTTTCATTTTTGGAGGTCATGGGTTCTTGACACGTGTACAACACTGTACCGTGGCTCTATTACACAAATGAAATAACCAGGAGTGGGACTTACTTATTTTTTTATTTTTTTTATTTTTTTAATTTAATGTCATGTTTTTTTTTTTTTTTTTCTTTCAATATTAGGAAGGAAATGAAGAAAATTTATTTTTAATACCTAAATTTTGAGCTGAATTGTCGGGTGGGGAATCCTAGAATGAAATGATAATTAGTCAAAGGAGGGGAAGTTTTGATGATTGACTAAACTTGAGGGACTTAGGTGTAATTAGTTATTCCCATTAATCTATGATCATTGACCACCAACTTCACCACCAAGTAATGAACGCTGATTTGACTCGGTTGAATTCTCCGACTTCCTTTCTATCTAGTTGAGAATAACTTCACCACCAAGTAATGAGCGTTGATTTGCCCGCATGGATATAGCTTAATCGGTTTCGGGATGGTAAGTTGGTACAAGGTCTTATGATCGAATCCTGGTAGCTGCACTGTGGGAATTTCAACTCCAATGAGCTTTGGTTCTTTGTGGGCACCAGGTCCGGCTTCGCTGCCCTAACGGGCCATTAAGTCACTATAATATACATTACTCCATCAAATACTTGTCGGCCCAAGGGACGGGGGCGAGGGATTTCGCCCTTTTTGGTACAACTAATTAGTGCAACCGCCTAAAACGACTAGTTTTAAAGTGAAACTGAAATGTTAGATGTGGTTTCAATTTTAATAATACGGTTTTGACTTCGGATGTGGTTTTGGCCTATTCTATTCTATTTTAGCAAGATTCGAAACATAAAAACTACAGATCTTTGATTTAGCTTTCTAATTCATCTTGAATCAACTGGATTTAATTTTGTATGATAAAGTTATGCATGAATTAATTACGTTTTGAATTTTAGATAACTCAAAACATCAAAGTTGTGAGCATTGTTCACTGATTTTATCCATATATTTCTCATCCAACATGTAATCTTGATGATCCATGTTGGATTAGAAAGTCAATTCAAAGAACTACAAATTCAGTATTTAGAGTTCTGCAAATTAAGACTAAAAAATGGTCAAGCTCACGCTTAATATCCTCAATATGCCAACCTATAGTCGACTTATATTCTCTAAGAACCTTCAACCGTGTTTTTTTTCCAGTCTCGCTCAAATCGGAAGAAATGATCTTAGGATGTGTCTTGTCAGCAAAAGCATAACAAAAAAAATCTTGTAAGAGCAACTCCAATGCTAAATACCAAAATTGGATTATCAAATTCTCATTTGATAATTAAGATAATATTTTAATATCCATTTACAATGTATCTACTCCAACCATGGTTATCAAAATTAATAATCAATTGGAATTTTTATTAGTTTTATTTGTAATTGCCACGTGTCATTTTGTGATTGGATGTTTAGGTAGTTATTTCTTTGATAACTCAATTTTCAGGATATATTTTTACATTCAAAGATGTAGAATATCAAAATACTTACCCATTTTGATACTCCCATTGGAGTAGAAATTTTTAATTTTGGGATATCAAAAAAGTGGTTTATGGTTTTGATAATCCATTTGATACTTCCATTGGAGTTGCTCTAATTGTTCCAATTTTAATTCGGGCCATTTTCACACTAACCGATATCTCAGGAATGACTCCTACCTCGTCTATGCCCAAAATCTCGCCAAACTCAAGGAACAACACACAATCAAGCACATCATTTTCAATTGGGGTTTCAGGGGAAATATAATGCAAATCAATAGGATTCACAATGCAATACTCAACAGTATCACAAAATTCATACAAATAAAAATGGAGGAAACACTGTCCTCGATCAAGTTTATTCTACTGCAATGATCAACAGGTTCAGAGCGTTTAAATGCATTCATCAATTAAAAACAACCTCGTCCTCTATTTACCCTAGTTTCAAAGAACCTAATTAAGTCCATATCAATCATCGTCTTACCAGTGGTTAAGAATGGACGATCTATAATGATTAGTGTTTTATCCTCTTCAGGAATGCCAAATACTACAAAATCAACAAGCAAAATGAATTTATCTACTTTAACTAACACACAGTTAGGAACTATACTAGAGCTCCGCGGTGCTTACAAAGAGAGGGTCAAACGGAAGTCGTGAACTGCTTTTTGGACATCTTCTAGTATTTATATGAACAATCAGCTAATTGTAAATCCATGTGCGTGCAGTCCAAATTTCCTATGACTGGTTTTATAAACATATACATAAGCATAAAATTAATATTTTTTCCCCAAATCACAAAACTTTATCAAAAGTAGAATTTTCAATAATACAAGGGTAGTATAACTCCGTGGATCCTTCATTTTTTTGTGGTAAAATCGTCTGAATAGCACTACAAGTTGTTGTGAGTGTCATGGCGTGTCTACTTTGACTCGTAATTTCTTGGATGGTACATCCTTCATGAACTTGATGTAATTTGACATTACTTTCAAGGCTTCTACAAAAGGGTTATTGATTCGAACTTGTTTGATTCTTTCGATGAACTTCGCAAATTGTTCTTTGAGATTCTTATTTTTCAATCTCTCTCGAAAAGGAATAGAAGTTATTAGAAGAGGTGGATTATCGAGAAAAAAAATATTATTGGGCATACTAGCCTCTTTTGTAATACTCCATGAAATGGTGATTTCCGACTCGACCGGTTTCAGTTGTTCGGCTGACTGTGGTGACTTGTTTGTCGGATAAGGAGGATTGGTCATTTGTAAACCAATTCGGGTGGTTATGGCTTGGCAACTTTATTTCAAATTGACTTCGGAATTGCTCAGAAATCCACCATTTGTTATCGTGGACACAAATTGGTCGATTTACGCTAGTTGTTTTTCCATATTCTTCATTATTGACTTTAGGACCTTCATTTTCTGTTCTTGTCGGCACATACGTTCGTCATAATTCGATCCTCATTGTTCTCTCTTATGGTTAAAATCGGAAGGTGATTGCAAAGCATTCTTCGGATTGGCATAACTGAGATTCAACTCGTCTTTTAACAATTCGTCATTGAGAATTTTATCATAAGTTGGCATAACCAATTTCTAGATCACCGCTTGGACTCCATAAACCATACTAAATTTTGCTCGTTGCTCATTTTGGAGTTGTACGAAGCACATTACCTCGTCTTCTGTATTGAATCTACCATAACTATTATATGCATACATATTTCTTCTCAAAGCCAAAAGACCAACAGTATTTATATTATGCGCCATTGGGCGAATGAACATGGAGACGAGATGCTTCCCAATAAACTTTCCCCCTTCGATGATCTCGCTTTCACTTTTCTACATGATCACACCTTAACCATTTGGATTGAGTTCGGCCCAAGATGCTGAACTAACCCCGATCAAAAGGTAACTTCAAAATCATGTGAAGAAATAGGGAAGTGTTTCTGAAGGTGAAGACGGGCGCTTATATACTTCAAGAGGTAACTTTCTTCCCGATCACACCTTATTAATTTTTTTAATAATTATTTAAACTTGAAGATGTGACGTTTCTGTAATTTCAAAGCTTAGATCAAATGGGGTTAATGTCAAATGTCTGACAACTAACATCAATGGCCACATTAAAACAATTTTTCAAGTGCATGGGTGCAAATCGATGCAATCGAGAGTAGAAGAAAGTAAAGTGATACCGAGTCAAAGTAGAATGGGGAAAGTAGAATATACCCTTGAATTTAAGTGAGAGGTAGTTCAATTGTTTTAGAGCCCTCGAAGGGTGCATAGTTAAAAAAAAATACAAAAGTAGAGATTATGGATGGCAATATTACCCGACCCGGCGGGTACCCCGCCCCGCCCCGCCCCGCCCCATTTTAGACGGGTAATACCCGCCCCGTTTAGGATTGGGGCGGGTAAGGGTTTTACAATTTATACCCGCAACGGGTAAGGGGCGGGTACGGGTATAGTAAAATTTCCCCCGTATCCGACCCGTACCTGCCCCGTTTACCCCCCGTATTTTTTATTTACGTATAATACCCTCGTATGTATTATTTTTCTATTTATTTTGTATTAAGTATTATCGAACATAGGTGACTGGGTGGCTTGTTAAAAGAGAACGATGCTTGCTTTTAATTTCTGATGTAATATGTTATTTTATAAAATGATTGTTGATTTGCATTTATATTTTAATTGTATTTAGTAATTAGTATATATATATATATATATATATATATATATATATATATATATATATATATATATATATATATATATATATATATATATATATATATATATATATATATATATATATATATATATATATATATATATATATATATATATATATATATATATA